CCTGCATCACTTGAAACATTGAAAAATAGCATAGAGAGAATAACTTATTATTATTCTCTCTCTATTTATTTATTTTTTGTGAGTTTCTTGCTGTCCGCTAAGGCATAGGACACACACAGGCTTTCCTCCTCACCAACGACATTAAACACCGTGTCTACACCGGACGTGAGCGGCAAAATACAGTAGAATCATTATAATCAGTGACGCTGTGTACACTGGATGCAGCGCGGTGCGACAAACCCCAACATTAAACTGATGCCTTGTTCTATTTATGACGTACTGACACAAAGTTAAAATGATTTGCAATGGTCGCTTTGTCGCGTCCAGTGTAGAGCTGTTGCGGCGCGACGCACAACTGTAGCGCCCGGTATAGACACTGTGAGTGAAGTCGAGAGCAAGATATGCCTCATCATATTTTATGCATTTAGCTTTTAAATGACCAGCACCTGCCTGGGTCTGTGCGACTTCATCTATGGCTTTTCTCTTCGCTTTCACAAACCGATCCATCTCCCACTCTAAGTTACGTCCTTTGGCTGTTTACTTATTTCTTTCCTTTTTCTGCTGATAGCTCGCGCTCGACTTGAAGCAGCGCTGCTTAGACCGATGGGTGTGTGTGTCATCAAAGTACTGCGAGAGCTATAAGAGAGCGCGGACGTCTCCTTATGCTTTCTCTCGCTCGCCGTACTTTGACACGCACCGATCTGATCTTCAAGTCGAACACACCTCTTTACTCTCGCCTGTCACGTGACCGTGTAATCGCAGCCTCTGCGATTGAAAAATCGAAATGTTTCATATCGCGATATTATCGCAAATGTAATTAATCGTTCAGCCCTAGCTTTCAGGCCTTAAAAATCATACATTAAAGGTCCCATATTGTTAAAACTGAAATTTCCTGGCTTTTTTTCACGATAACTGAGGTCTAGGGGCTATTTAACTACAATATAAGTTTCAAAACAGTAACAGTCCACAGTAAAATGCACACAGCCTGCATAAAGTAGCTGTGATTTTTCACGAACCATTGTGACTTCCGTAAAAAGTTGACGTCA